CGCTAGAGTGCATCTATGATAACTAATGGAGAGGAGACAGAAAGAAAACTCCTGGAGATTCATGTAGAGAAGAACGTGTTTCAGATCCTTCCATTCCACTTCACACCAAATCAATCCCATCTAACTCAAATCACACAGCAGAGCCCACTCTCTTACGTACAAAATCATGGCTCCATCGAGCCTCATCTCTGCCCGGATCACAGGCACTGCAGCCCTGTTGTTTTGCCTGAACGGCTATAACATTATACCATAAATGACATTGAACTCTTCACTTCAATTAGGGATTGCGAAATGTGTGTTGAAGCTGATTAAGCAGCACTAGCATTAAATTCACAAATCAACAAGTAGCCCAGCTGCATGCATGACGCTAACTGCTGCTGACCCGTTGATGATCAGTAGGGCGGTTCATTTATCTTCCCCTAGAGCAGCAGGGCTCAACAAAAACATGAACACTCTTTTTTGTCCTGATATGGCCTGAGTGCATGTAGAAAGAGTTCATAGACTCTAGCATATATAAGTCATATCATGCCTACTCATCAGGTTGACTGAACAGAATCATGCTAATGATGAAGGGGGCTTGAACTCTCCCTGTCAGAACTGAGCATGAGGAATCCTTGCTGTTAGTCAGAGAGAGAGAAAACATAAATGCTGGTGCTGTCTGTGTGTGTTATTGATGTCAGTTTGCTACACATTCATTTTTTATTATTATTTTAATTATTGCATAGTCAGATAATGAATTAAATATACATTTGGTTTACATTCTGGATTGATGTGAATGTTTCAAATGTGCATTTCTGACTACTTTCTGTGTGTTATCAAGTTAAAAAAGGATAAACATAAAGGTTTGTTTTATTGCCACATTTCAATGTTAGATATGTTAAATGTTGCAGAAAAATGCCATATTAAAGTGGGTTCCATGTAGGGGATGTCAGACTTCTAACCGACTTCAACGTTAGACTAAAATTCTTTTGCTTTGAGTGACCGTACACATTAATTATGCTTGTGTAATTAAAATAAATAATAGAAAAATAACATCTCCGAAATGTTTCGATGGTGAACATTTGCTCATTTATGCTCATTTTGAGCACAACACAAAACGCTAGCCGGTACATGACTAGCAAACACAGCTTTGAACAGTTACACACACATAATCGTAATGTTTTTCATTAAAAATGTTTTTCATATGTTGTATAATCTGGATGGTTTCTGTATCAGTATTCTATCCCCTGTGTACCTTGCATCTCATTTATTATCTACCTCAGACTCACTAACTGCACATATGGAAATGTGAACAACAGTACAGATCAGAGTTTTATTTCAGAGTTTTAACTTATTACTGTACAACTGTACACTGGAAGTGCAATAGTAGTGTATAGTGTGTATATGTGTATATATTTAGAGTCGTGTATGTACATATTGTTATTACATACATATATTTGTCTGTGTGTGTAATATATATATATATATATATATATATATATATATATATATATATATATATATATATATATTTGTATTTAAATTATACAATGGGGCTATGCACATAAGATGCACCTGTGTAAATGTGATGTGACAATAAATAAGATTTAATTTGATTTGATTTAAAACAAAAAGTTTAGCTAATTGCAGAAAATGTGTTTCAGTAGTGACAATTCTTAATATTACATGCTGATTTTCAGAGCTGCGGAAATATGAGATCTAACTGCTCACCATATGGCTACGAGGGACAGGGATGCAGTCTGACTTCCTGCTCTGAAATGCAGGGGTTCTGTCTATGGACTAACAGTCTCTGTGTTTCGGTAGTGACATAAGACAACATTGACAAAAAATAAATAAATCAAAAAAATAAAAAAATATTTTCCCAAGTCTAAATTTACAGGTTAGGGTTTGGGGCAGACACCTACCAACAGAAAAAAAACCCATGAATGATAATTTGTGCCTTGGGTTTAAATATATCATAAAATAATCCTTGTAAATATCTAAAATCTGAATAACTTTATTGTGCTTTATAAACATTTAAGTGCAGAACCACAATTTGCAGAAAAAAAAAAATACACGCATACACACACATATAGGACACCCCAATGAAATAATTTGTTATTTATTAAGAAATATAGTCATATCAATATTTTTTCAAACAACATTTACAAATTAAGTTTATGTAATTGCATCACGTTTGCAAAAATAATGAAAACTTGACTTTTTGATAATTTATTTAACAAAAATTGAAATAAAGATGTCAATTCCTTCTAAGGGAGAAGGCGACACACTCTGTGCCCTAATAGCTGGTATTACCCCCTCTGGCTGAAATAACCTTAATTAGACATTTCCTATAACTGCCAGCCTCTGACTCTAACTGGAGAAAGTTTTCTCACTCCTCCATGCAGAATTCTTTCAGCTGTGATGTTTGAGGGGTTTCTTGCATGCACAGTTTCAAATCACCCCACAGCATCTCAATAGGAATAAGATCTAGACTTTGACTTGGCCATTCCAGAACTCTCCACTTCTTTCTCTTCAGCCTTTCCTTAGTGGATTTACTGGAATGTTTTGGGTCATTGTCATGTTTCAAGGTCCACTTTCGCCTCAGTTTTTGCAGATAGTCTTATATTTTCCTCAGGCATGTTCTGATATAATAAAGACTTCATAGCAGATTCTAAGATGGAGAGCCTACCAGGCCCTGCTGCAGCAAAGCAGCCCCAAACCGTGACACTTCCACCTCCATGCTTCACAGTTGGTATGAGGTTCTTGTGCTCAAATGCTGTCTTTTGTTACTGTGCCCAAATAATTCAATCTGTCCAAAGTACATTGTTCCAGAAGTCCTGCTCTTTGTCTCTGTGTTCTCTGGCAAACTTTAGGCCCAGTCCCATTTCTTCTTCTTACCCCTACCCCTTGTTTTCGAGTGTCACCCTAATCCCTTGGAACTGAGTTACAAGGGGTAGTGGTTGAAATCTTGCCCTCTGAAATGGGACCCTCAAATAAAAAGAGCATCACTTCATTAACAGCTACCAGCGCTGCTCTGTAGGCGACCCTGCCAGTCTGCAGTGACAGCAGAGGAGGGTAAAGTTCAGCTCCTCACTGCTGGGCTTTAGTTACATTTAGGGCATCATATGATCTTCAAAGAGGGGGGCAATTATTTATTATCACCCACTGCTAATTCTTCAGTGATATGAAGCTGAAGTCAGATATTCACCAGATTCTTGTTCAAATTTTCCCGTTCCACCTTAAATGGTGCAGCAGTTACATTCTGGGGCTTCAGGAATCAGAACTGCTGGTCTATTTAAGGTGGAACGGAAAAGTTAGCTAGCTAGCTACCGAGACATTAGCATGCTATTAGCGATTTTTTATGCTTATTATGAAGAAAATGACCATAATACACTAAAACGACATTAAACTAAGATAATACAGTGGTTATCATAATTTTTAACGGAGAAAATTCTCACATTTGTGGGTTTCTTTGGTCTCTTGTTCTCCATCTTGCTGGTTTTTCTTTTTTCCTCATAACTCTCTGTTTGGAGTCTCTGAAAAACCTCCGTTTGGAGGGTCATGTAGCCCCAACACTTCACCCTACCCCTCTATCTCAACAAGAATTGGGACACCCTACCCCTAGACGGAACGCGCAAAACAGAGGGCTTAGAGCTCAGTGGTAGGGGCGAGGGGTCAAATGGGATTGGGCCTTAGTCTTGCCTTAATGGAAGGGTTTCCTCCTTGCACAGCTCCCATGAAAATGAAACTTGTGCAGTCTCTTTTTGATGGTACTTTGACATCGACTGTGGGAAGAGCTACCCGTAAGATCCTGTGATGACATTTCAGGACTGTTGGAGACTCCTTTATGCATCTTGCATTCTACTCTTGAGCTGAACTTGCCACAGTAGCCTGACCTGGCAATGTTGGCAGTTGTTTCAAATGTTCTCCAATTGTAAATCATTTTCTAGACAGTGGAACAGCTGATTCTAACTTTTAAGATCTTTTTAAATCCTTCCCAGACTCATATGCACCTATAGCCTTCTTTCTAAAGGCCTCAGAGAGGATCTCTGGATCTCACCATGGTGATACCGCTCACTTCAACATTCAAGAGCAAACCAAACTAAATATCTGAGGTTTAAAGAAGGCAGCCTCCTCCTGATGTGGAGCACCTGATTCAAATTTTAGGCATTGTAAGTGTTGATAATTTTGGGAGTGTCCTAACTTTTTCCTCACAAAGAAATTGCATTTCTATTAATTACATTCCTAGGGCAGCACGGTGGCGCAGTGGGTAGCGCTGTCACCCCACAGCAAGAATGGCCTGGGTTCGATTCCTGGCCGGGTGACCAGGGTCATTTCTGTGTGGAGTTTGCATGTTCTGCGTGGGTTTCCTCCCACAGTCCAGGCAGTGTATCCTGCCTTCCGCCCAATGACAGCTGAGATAGGCTCCAGCACCCCACCGCGACCCAGAAGGATAAACGGTTTAGATGATGTATGTATGTAATTACATTTCACAAATAATTTTTCAAAGACATTTCTTCAGTTTTATGTGTTTAGTTATATCACCTCCCTCTTTCACCAGTTAAAATGAAGATCCACTGTCCATATTTTTAAACATGTTAAAGACAAAGGTTTTCATGGTGTGTCCTAATTTTTTCTGTGTGTGCAAGATGTACAAGATATATCAATGGAATATTATCAGGAACTCGTTCTATCCAAAACTGTTACGAATATATAATAATCTGCAATTTTGAATGAAACTCTGACCCAAAGAGCATTTCACTGTTGTCGGAAGAAAACCTTGTATCTCTAAAATGGTGACTTTACTTTTAATGTAAATCAATGGAACCAGATTTTTTTTCCAAGTAATTTTGGGCTGTTTCTATTGGTCCATTCATCATGAAACTTACACACAATATAAAGGCAACTTTTTTTTTATACTGTGTCAAAAATGTGAGAATTTAGCTGCAGGTAGATTTTATTTGATTAGCACTGAAGTAGTATCTCTCCTAATGACCACTGCAAGCATTGCTACTGACCTCAAGGGACTGCAGGTAGCCCTCCTGGGGGTCGCAGAGCAGCGAGGAAATGCGGTGGTTATTCCTCATGCAGCGGATGTTTGTGTCCCTCCACAGAGGAAAGATCTGCCTGATCACGGTCATGCGGCCAAGAGCGCTGTGGACCAGCTCCATGATCTCTGTATCACTCACCTCCTACACTCACACACACACACCAGGGGAAACCAAGGAGAAAAACACTGGTTTTAGCAGAGTGAAAAAGAACAAGCAAAGGAAGTTTGAAAACAAACTTCAGGTTGGTTCGAAAAAATCCTACTAGATCTGAAACAGCAACAGTTCTATATACAGTTAGTACTGGTGTATCTGCATAGTGCACCACTAAGCGACTACTCTCATTACAGTACTTGAGTATGTTTTTCTTGTAGTTGTTCTTGTTTAAAGATATTAAAATCATAATAATTTCACTTTTGTTAAAAAAAAAAATCTCTACTTACACAATTTGCGGAAATAATAAAGTGAAGTAATGTTCACTGACTACCTATAGTGTTGTTTCTATGGGACCTCCTCCCTGGTAGACTTGTAGACTATTTTTTATCTCTGGCAGTAGTATGTCAAAATTTTGACTTATGTCACAATAATGACTTATTTTTTTCAAAATATTGACTTACTATGCCAAATTATGACTTAGAATGTTAAGATAAAGACTTAGCATGTCAAAATAAAGTATAAGGATCTCAAAGTTGTGACTTACTATGTCACAATAATAGTTTGTTACATCATACATAATTGGATGTAACAAAATTTATTTTTGTCTTATTTTTTTTTATTTTGACTTACTATGTAGAAATAATGACACAATTTTGACTTATGTCAAAATAAATATTGACTTGCATTGTCAAAAAATGACATAGTATGTCAAAATAAAGATCTCGGTTCTTAAAATTTTGACTTTGTCAAACTTATTGTTTCTAGTTTGACTTACTGTGTCAAAAAGAATTATTTTTCAAAATATTGACTTGCTATGCGCTATAATGACTTAATATGTCAAAATAATGTTGTCAAAATAAAGAATGAGATTCTTAAAATTATGACTTGTATCAAAATAAACAATCACTCGCTATGTCAAAATGAGAATTAAGATCTTAAGGTTTTGATTTATTACATCAAAATATTGCCTTACCATGGCCTGCTCTAAAATTTCAGGGTGTGGTTAGAACAAGGCTCCGTCTATGGACTAAAACTCTGTGTCTCGACAGTAATTTGTCTTAATAACTCGTTTTCAAAGTCTTTATTAAGTCATTATACATCAATATCTCCAGAACATAAGTCATTATTTTGAGGCAATATGTCAAAACTCTGACATACTGCTTCCAGAAACAGAGAAGGAATATAAAAGCCTTGTGGGAAATGACTCCGCATTTGTTATTATTATCTGTTCATGTTTATTATGTGTTCTAATGATAGTGTCTGTAAGCCAGCCAATTTTGCTAAAGGTGTAAGGTGTATAAGGGTCCAATTAAACAATAACCCAATGAAACTTTGAACACTGGACCTTAAAATAACTCAAAGTAGATCCTTGAGATACTTGAGTAGTTTTTCAAAGAATGCCTCATTTAGTTTTATGTGAAAAATTTCTTCATTAATACTCAGCGCATTAGCACTACAGCTAATAGGCTACTGTATTCACACTTACGGTAGCTGTTTCTGATAAAATGGCCAATAAGTGTCTATGCAGCTGGCAAATGTTTGTTTTAAAGACACTCGTATCATCTAGAGCTTTCACAAGGCTGCAGAATAAGCTGCATGCATTATATGTAACAAGACCGGAGAGAGGTGGGTGAAGAGGGCAGTGTGGTCAGATCCTTCATGGTGCCAGATCGATGAGGTACAGCAAGTCGGAGCAGGGGGTCAGTCCCCACAGCACAGCATACACACTTCAAACACTCACCCAGACAGCATTCCAACCCAGGAAGGGTCACCCCCAGACACACAGGGTCAGTGTGGGTTAGGGCTGGGGCATATAGTCTTCTACTATCTGCTGTCTCTTAATCATTAATTCACACTCTGACTTCTGCTCTTCTCATTTTAAGTCTTATGGCCAGATGTATGTGGACACCTGACCAGCACACCTAATGTGAGCTTGTTGGACATCCCATTCCAAAATGATGGGTATTTTCTTTATTTATTTTTTTTAATTTTCTCCCCAATTTAGTCGTCTCCAATTCCACCCGCTAGTTAGGACTCCCCCAATCACACGATACTATCAACGCTAGGAAGGTGAAGGCTAACACAGGCTTCCTCCGAGACCTGTGAAGCACCACCGCTTCTTTTCGAACTGCCGCTCACGCAACGTCACTGGACAGCCGAACGCGCTCGGAGGAAAGCTCTGTTACGTCAGCCAACAGACGCCTGCGCTGACTAGCATCGCGCTGAGTGATGGGGGGAGAAGGAGGGGCCATCCCACCCACCCAGAGAGAGCGAGGCCAATTGTGCTCTCTCGGACTCCTGGCTACGGACGGCTGTAGCATCACCAGGGATCGAACTCGCTGATGATAGGGCCAACGCTTAGACGGTTGCGCCACTCGGGAGCTGCAAAATGATGGGTATTAATATGCAGTTGAGAGAAGACAACTCAACACTAGTGGGTCTGAAAGAGCGTGCAGCTGGCACTGGGATTATTTGGAAACTTTGTTAATTGGAGATTCACTGGAAGTGAATATTACATCACATTTTGAGCTGCGTCTTGTCATGTATGTAAAGCTGGCCCTGTGTCTTTGTCATTTCCCCTCATATTATTATCTGTCTAGCATCTCCATAGCAGTGGGGATTAGTCACTAAGTTGCAAGTAACAAATAAGTCTGATGTCTTGACACTCAAGTCCCGAGTCAAGATAGTCGAGTCCCGAGTCAGCTCAGGCGAGTCACAAGTCGAGTTCCAAGTCAATAGTCCTAATCTTTGAACCCTAAACAAGTCAGTATGCATTCTTCACTAATTTAAGGCTGTAACATCGAATAAAGGTAACAGCAATACAGCCTTCTAACCACAGCATGTTAGCAGTTATGCCTGTATATTCATTTTAAATCATTTTGTTTTTATCCTCCCGACAAAATCCATTGTTCCCAGATAACCACACTCTTAAAAGGATGAAAGGTGGGGCTCCCGAGTGGCGCAACCGTCTAAGTGTTGTCCCTCATCAGGAGATCGCGAGTTCGATCCCTGGTGATGCTACAGCCGTCCGTAGCCGGGAGTCCGAGAGAGCACAATTGGCCTCGCTCTCTCTGGGTGGGTAGGATGGCCCCTCCCTCTCCCCCCATCACTCAGCGCGATGCTAGTCAGCGCAGGCGTCTGTTAGCTGATGTAACAGATCTGGCGGTTGACGCTTTCCTCCGAGCGCGTTCAGCTGTCCAGTGACGTTGCGTGAGCGGCAGTTCGAAAAGAAGCGGTGGTGCTTCACAGGTCTCGGAGGAAACCTGTGTTAGCCTTCACCCTCCTAGCGTTGATAGCATCGCGTGATTGGGGGAGTCCTAATTAGCAGGTGGAATTGGAGACGACTAAATTGGGGAGAAAAATCGGGTAAAAATAAAAAAAAAAAAGGATGAAAAGTGTTCAAGGTTCTTTTTAGAACTGTTTCCTTTGCCTAAGAACCTTTGAGGAACCACCCTTTTAAGAGTGCGTGACAGACATACTGGTATAAAGAATTTTAAAAGTACTACTGAATTTTAAAAACTTCATATTTGAAGATAATTTTTGATGATTTTTGGGAACACTGGACACACAGTATTAAAACAACAACTAGCTCAGCAAACTAAAAACAACAGTGTTTGGATTGAATTTAAACAACAACAGAAACCAAAACGACCGACCTGAACAAAGTTGACAGAAACGACAGCAAAATGATGGTGAATGTGCGATGCTGAAGTTGACTTTTTTTTGCCAGCAATGAGTTACTTGAATTTTCAGTTCCACCTTAAATGGTGCAGCAGTTATGGTGCCAGCTGCATCATTTAAGGTGGAATGGCAAATTCCAATATAAAGCTGGCAAAAAAGAAATTAACTTCAGCGGCGTGGTGAATGATAGGATTGTTTTAAAATTAGTCAAATCGGGAGAACCATGTTTCTTTTGTTCTTTTATCTCACTATAATGAGGAAAACGGTCAGTTCGCCTGGTGAGTTTCAGTTTAGGTGCTGAGGGTGCATTGATGCTGTTGACGCTTTGCTTGTTTCCAGTTTATGAAGGTGAACTTGAACTCTAACCGCTTCTCTTGTCTTTCGAAATAAAATAAACGGAGCATAAACTGAGTGACAGGCACCTGACGACGCTGCTGTTTGTTCAGTTTAAGGTAGAAAACGAATCAATTCACATGAAAAGTACTCGACTGTGTAGCCGTCTGCAGTCAGACTCTCCCCACGTTTCTTTTACTTTCTCGAGTCTTACCGAGTCTTAACGTTGAAGTCTGAGTCAAAGTCCGAGTCATTGGTGTTGAAGTCCTTTTTGATTTTTCTCGAGTTGAGTCTAAAGTCATCAAATATGTGACTCGAGTCCACACCTCTGCTCCATAGCATCTCGACACTGACCTAAATGTGTAAGAGCCCAGACAACACAAAAGACTAAGATCTGAAAGGAAACAGCAGCTTGATGGCCTTCAGGAACAAAACAACAATGAAAAAACAAGCTGGTATTGCTTGTCCTGCGGTGACCCAGGTAGCGTAACGTCGGGACCACAGATGACAGGCGTTCTGCAAATTCATTAATCAAAACAGCTTCATCTGACATATGAATTATCTGTGATATGGTGTTCAGTCAGAGTTATTAATCATTCAGGACATGAATTAGAAACTCCACGATTATCAACATGATACAATCTACAGTCAGGAATATGAGGACGCATTGCCAGCTCTTATTGTACTGTGAAAATTGGGAGGTGTTTGTGTGATTGGGCGAGAAAGCAAGACAGCAAGAAAAGAACAGATTTAACCCAGTCCTTCCATAGCTTTGTCGTCCATCAAGCCAATTAATTCTAATTCTAATTTGACCTAGAAAGTCAGCTACAGTTTCAAAGTTTGGAATCACTATTTTTAATTATAAACCAATGTGTTGAAGATAAATGTATAAATATATTGTAGCGTCCTGTTACTGGCTGGCACTGGCTCCGACAGACTCTAGAGGTGTGGCTATGCAGATGGCCACACGCAAA